CCCACGCTTCAAGACAAAGTCCTATTTCAAAATTTCAGAAATCCTTTACATTTTATCTGAATTTCATAGCAGTTTTAACCAAAATTTTCCTCAAAATTAACAATTTACACCCAACTGTATATAATCAAAGTCAGCAGTGATGCAAAAATCTATCAACAATTTTAAATGTAAATAGACATGGCATAGATGTTATTTGAAGCCGTTCAATTTGAGATGATCAAATCTAATTTAGTAGAAGCTTCTATATCACATACACCATATTGTAGTAAAGCAGGAAGGCCATATGACTCTACATTAAAGAAATCCATAATTCACTATTGTTGAATCGAAAAAATCAAAATTATTGATTAACTAATTTACCATTAACCATATCCAAAAATTTACCAGGAATTAGGGTCTACTTCTGCTTCTCCCCCTGTTGATATAATAAAATTACCATTTTGAAAACAATTTGGAATCTATGTCACTTTTATATAATAATTTGCTGAAAAACCAAAATATCATAAGATGTTCCACCATTTCTCCAAATCTTCCATCTAGTATTCAAACTAGACTGAGATTATGTAAATTTCAAAGTTCCATCTGTAATGTCTTATCTTTATAACATCCCCCTGTGTTTTCTTATTTCCAAAAGAAAAACAATTTAGAGGTGGAAAAACAAAAATGGAAGAACTTACCCCCATTATGCTAAAATTTCAACATGTCCAATCAGTCACCCATATGAAATATAAACCAAGTTTATTTAGTTAGAATTTAGGTTAGTTTGTTAGTGTTGTTAGTCAAAGTGGATAACACAATTTCCTAATAACTACATCTATCTGCTTTAAGCCAAGGCTGAATTCTCGTTTCATATTAATTTCACTGCACAAGCAGAAGATTCAGCTTCAACCAGATTGTGACACCAAAATATGAAATCGTCATTACCTTAAAATTGTCCCTTAAAGCAGTAATAAAAACATATTTATGAAACAAAACCTTCAGTGTACCTAAATAGTTTAAAATAAGAAAAATATCACACAGCTACACACTAAACTGAGGTCATATTTACATAGAGCATCCTAAAACCCATCAAAGGCCATCAGCCTACACATTCACTCTCATTCACACTCAAGCACTCATCAACACCCCATTGTAAGAAAGATGCAGGATGTTACCCCAGATTTCAAACCAAAATTCATCCTGTAAAAGTCTTAAACACAAATATTATAACACCATGGTTGAAAAAAATAATAAAAAGACATTATTATCCAATAGTTCTAATATTGTTCAGTTTTGAGTGAACCTTTTTAAAAACTCCAAATTATACACACAACCGTATTTCATGATAGCCCACTGTTATTAAATGGCTACCTATACCCCCTGTAGGAAAACCCAAAAACCGTTCATGTGGTCATGTAATATGCGAAATGGGCTGCACACGAAGATCGTCCTACAAGAAACAAAGTCATTCATTAGCGTTTCAACATGTCCCACATTAACAGTGTAGAAAACACTGTTACGCAGAAAAACATCCATATGTTCTCATTTTTGTTCTCTTACAATCAGTGAGGGTGTTCCATCCTGTCAGGAAACCTAGAAATTTAAGTGATTGTCAATGTTACAGTATTATAATAAACAATTGGATCATTCCAGTGCTCAAGCCTGGAACTGATGCAACACATTTCACCCGCTGAGAAAGTAAAAACATCTGTAAATCTGTTATTTTGTACTTTTCATTTCAACACAAAACACAGTCCTAAAGCAATTCACATCAAAATCCAAGAATCCTGAAAGCGTGAGCTGGAAATAGCACAGAACTGAAGCACTCCCAAAATGCAAATAAGGGGGGTCAATCAGTCCCCCCGCTGTGAAACAAAACTTGCATCCAAAACGGAGACACCGCTGTCCCACAGAAGCACATTTTAACAGAAAGTTAGTAATACAACATCCAGCAAAAATATTTAACAATATTTCAGAACACAATCTTGAAACACAAATCACTTCCGCACAATCTCAGCACAATTCAGACACAGACAGACGAATAGACAGCAGCGCGTGGTGGGACATAGGCTACAGTATAACGGGGGAAGACAGACACACAGCCACAAACACAAAGAAACATACAAAACACAGAAACACAGACAACGTTGTAGTTCAGTCAAGAAAAGACAGAAAAAAAAGAAAAGAAAACGTCAGGAGCCGGCTAAAAGAATGTATGACGCATCTTTTAATTGTCCAATTTCAATTTTACAAATCCCTTTTATTCTCATTTCAACTTCTCAGTCCTACACTTCAGAGCTGGGTCAAGCTCGAGGCGAAAATAAGCCTCAATTTAGTTTATTCGATCACTCAATCCGCCCAGTGACAAAAGGTTTTTTCTTTTTCAGCTGGGGAGAGCGATTGAACCCGTATTAAATCAAATAATTTATTTTAGTCCTTTATACTATAAGCAACCCGCTTAAGGGTGCCAAAGAAAGGTGATCCAACCTGCTATTAGTCCTTTATTTTCCACGAGTGATACAACTCGGTCCAATTAACCTGCTATTAGTCCTTTTCCATGAGTGATACAACTCGATCCAATTAACCCAAATAATTATAAGTCCACTGGAGATGAGTCGAAATCTCCGGCTGATACAAGCCAAAACTAACCAATACACAAATTTCCAAAATACTTTTTTAGAGGCCCAGGCATTGCTCCTCAGGGTAAAAAGAATAAATTAATCTTTATTAATTAATCAATTAATTAATTAATTAATCAATCAATAAAACCTTCTTTTAAAAAACCCAGCTTAAGTCAGAGTTAACGTAAAGGCTCTGTTTGAACTAGCCACAGTTCCCTGTAATGTGTATTTATTCAAATCCTTAAACAACTGACTCTTTTAGAAGGGATTTTATCTACCTCTGCAGCATCTGAATTCTGTGAGGCCGCACACAGCAAATCAGCCCCGGTCCGACCACACGGCGCTTCAGACAACTAAAAAAATAATCAAATACTGTCTTACCACACCGAAGCGTCGGGCCGAAACGGATCAATCAGGACCAAACAGCCGTCCGCCGAGACTCCAGAACCGGCACGAGCCCCCAATTGTAAAGGAAGAAAATATTCTAACATAGTTAACTTTGGAAAAAGATTGGCTTCTGATTCTTCCCTTCCCCAGGTCCACTCGGCGAGCTGCGTTTGGTAATAAAACCAACATTGCGTGTTGACGTCACAGAATTACAGAGTTTAATCCAATATAAGACAATGCATACACTTTAGAAATAAGACAATGCACAAACCTACACCAGAAACTGCAGAACAACAGAGACATACATTCCATTACCTGACATAGGAGGAAAGAAAGCAAAGAGTACAGAGACATCTTTGGAGAGTTGCAAGGGCAAATCTGATCTTTTTCTTCTATTTAGAAAGCTTTATCCTCTTGTATCTAATCCATTCAAAAAGGGCTGGCCCTCGGTCCTCCAACCAAACGCCATCTCTGACACTGCTAGGGCTTCCCCTTATTTACTGCAAACATCTGGGGTCATTTGCTTCTTTGTTTTAACAAGAAAAGGCGGAAAGCTTGTCCTGGCATCTAGAATTCCTAAAGTCATAAAACACAAGATAAGCTCTCACAGACAGCTTGTGGAATGCGGGGGGCCTCCTGTGCTTTGAATACTTACCCATTAGTAGTTTTAAATCATTAACACAGCCTTGTTCAAAATTAAGAAATATGTTCAAGTGAGAGTGTTTACACATGCCATAAGATTAACTGTAATAAAGTCTAAAAAATAATCATTTTTCTTTAACATGAGGTAAACACCGTTTTTTATTTAGCCTTGTTTGTCACAGCTGCCTAGTCAAAGCATACATTTTGAATTTTCATGTCATGACTTAAAATGAGCAACACAAACCCCTTGACTTGCTATGTTCCCTTCTACTTTCTGAGTAGCTATGAAGAATACTTCTGTATATTTATGCTGTAGGAATACTGTAATTAATGAAGCATGACTTAAAAAATTAATGTAAAAAGGGGTGCCAGTATTTATATATGTTATGAAGGATTATTTTATAAATAAATGCATGCACATTGGATATGCAAATTGGAGCATTTTTTTTAAATAAATTACAGTGTGAGATGCAGGAATTTAAAAATACATACTACTTTAACACATCTCTACCCAAGGTGATGATAAATGCAGACAGAACTAACATTTTAAACCCAACATCAATATATATTAATAAAGATATTAATAAACTGTAAAGACAGCATTTGTTAAAATTGCGCTAATGGCATTCCCTGACAGGAGGCTACTTATAAAACTGAAAGACATTCCTTTATTTCATCTGTGGGGTTCATATTTTTAATCACTTTCTTCTTTTGTAGCAGTTATGCAAATCCAGATCTTTTGCAGCACAGCCAATGTGGCAGATGGCCCTTCATGATTTCACAAATCAGACACAAGGACAAAAACATTGACACACACCCACACACACACAAGCTTGTCTCACTATATTTACAGGGCAATTTCCATTGACTTCCATCCATTTTCTACAGCCTAACTGGGACCCTTACCCTAACCCTAACCATTGAATGGTTAATTCCTAACCATACCCCCGACCAAAACTTAATTAACAGCTGGGTCCTTAACATGACCCCTGAACCAAAAACAGCAATTCCCCCGTTGGGTCCAGGCATTTCACCCACAAGGAGCAGCCGTTCCCTACAACGTGCCAATATCTCTCAAAATGAGCCCCACAATGTAATAAAAACAAGAGCACATACAGACAAACACACAATAAGATAGAGAAACATGACTTATGCACAATTTGCATTAGAAGAGAAAAGTGAAAACAGTATTTCCATAAAGCTAACTGTGGGAATTTAGTAGCACCTCTAAAGCCTATTTACTTGATAACAAAATACACTTAAATTAAGCCATGTGATCTATTATATTTGCTTTTTTAAATAAGGATTTTATGATTTTTTTTTTGCTCTATTTTCGGGGCATTTTTGCATTAAAGTGTTCCTTTCCTGCAGGTTTCTGTGATACTAACGCTGATGGTCCCATACAATGAAATTGATGAAGATGCCCCTCTGATGGAGATGTTTTCCTTGCATGGTTGTATGTTCGCAAAGTACATAGTTGCTGTTGGGTCCATAGCTGGACTGACTGTGTCCCTCCTGGGTTCCCTTTTCCCCATGCCAAGGGTCATCTATGCCATGGCAGGGGATGGTCTGCTGTTTAAGTAAGTTTATACTCTAATCTTATTCTGTTTAATTTTTATGATGTGTGCTGTGGATTTTTATAACTCTCTGTGTGTGCATTTAGGTTTCTGGCCAGTGTTTCTTCATACACAGAGACCCCTGCTGTGGCTTGTGTCGTATCAGGATTTCTTGCTGCCCTTTTGTCCCTTCTGGTCAGCCTCAGAGACCTCATAGAGATGATGTCTATAGGCACCTTGCTGGCCTATACTCTAGTGAGTCTGGCAAAAATGCATTGCTTTCCTGTTTTCTCCTATATTTTACTTTCTTTAAATGTTTTGGGTTCTGTAACCGGACTGACTTATATACAATGTGAAGTGTGTTCCAAAATCCATATATTGTGTTTATATTGTGATTATAAAATATAACAACAACAACTGAAAATATGAGAACTTCTCGGTGCATCATCTACACAAAAAAAAGCAGTTTTATACAGTAGTTACAGCTGGAAACCTACCAGGATAGACCCATTAATCTAAACTGATATGCTGGAGCAGGGAGAGAATTAATAAGAGAATCAACTCAAGTAGCACTGAAAAAGAGTGTCCAATGCCTTTTTCAGTCACAAAACTATGTGTGAATATAACAAAAAAGGTAAAAAATCTGATGCATTTAATTTATCTTGTATCTTTGTATGAATATTAGTAGCCGGTGCAGTTTATTACTAAGGGTGTTCATGATTAATTAAGAAAAGCAAGGTTTTTTCAAGCTTAATATATAGGTATCAAATGTAATTATGACAAAAAAATGGAGGAATTGTTCGTTACCTTCATACAGACAAACAGCTGTTAACTCTTTTCAATCACTATTGTGTTCCGCTGTTCAGGACTGAGGTTGCTTTTCTTTGATCTTTGATTTATTCAAGAATCTTTTTTGGTTTTAGATTCATAATTGACTTCTAAATACTATGAATACCCACTAATAAAATGTAGCCATTTATTAGATGTCTTTTTTAAACCAAAAGAAATGTCTGCAATGCTTTTGTAATGCAGTATCCCAGCAATGTTTTTATAAAGAGAAGGAGGCTGCTTCTCCTGTAGGTAGGAACGTTCCATTTTGAGACAAATCACAAGTACTGATTACTCAGCTTCCTGGTGTGATTGACAGGTGGTGTCATGTAAATTACAGGAACAGTAGCAGATTAAATGGCCCAGTCAATATATAAACTTAAATCCCTCGCTGCAAAGCATGCATAGGCATTCTCCAAAAGATTTTAAAAGAACATGTCATGATTTTATCTAAAGCTCGGACCCACATGCCGAGAAACCAATTCAGAGAGACACCAGGGGAAAGGTTTAACAGGTTTATTGAAGAGATAAGGCACGGTGCAGAGTTGCTCTGAACTTAGCTCAATATGAACTGGAAGGTGAAGGGAAGACAAATGATTAGTTCAGGCTCAGTGGGAATTTTCATTTGTGGATTTGGAGAAGAGGATCTGGTTGTTGACTAACGCTTCCAGAGAAGTTGTAGAATCTTTGACTCCAATCTGTGTGCTGTTTTCCAGTGTTATTCTGATTCGGTGGAGGGTGGAACAGGGTTTACCCGGAACACGGATGGTTGTTGGTGAACGGAGAAACTGACGGCCACTCAGATTCCCTGCTTTATTTGAACGGGTCATAGTCGAGATGATTCCCTTGCTCAGAGTAAACTCAACGTCCTCTCAAGGAAACAGGAGCCAAACCTCCTGTTTGAATCCCCAGCTCGGTTTGAGGCTCAGTTGATCCCTCCAGGAAGAGAAGGTCCGAAAAGATCTAGTTTGCATTATGACTTTCTGCAGAGACGCAAAGACAAAAACGAAGTTAAAACTCAGGTAGACAAGAACTCAGTCTTACTCAGCAAAAACTCAGCTTGGCTAGAGTACCCAAAACTGGCAAACACTCTGGTGTCAAGGTAGTGGCAATCAGCAGCTTAAGAGCATTCCGTTAAAGAGGTAACCATCATCAGGTGTGTGAGGAGGCGAACCAGAACCAGGCGCCTCCTGCTGGTGGAAGGGAGAACAACACAAAAAAACAAACACACAGACTCGAGTCCTGACAGAACAGAGGTTTCACATGCAAATTTCTGTTTTTGAAAATATGTTTCAAAAGTAGGCACAGGTTTAGACACAGGTTTTCTTTCTCTATACAAGTATGTACGGCTTTGTGTGGGTATAGCACGTGAGAACCAAATAAAATTAGCTTACTTTAAGTTTTATCTAGGATCACCACCAGTGCATTTCAGCGTAAAAGTCCATTAGAGTAGATTGGACTTGCGTTGTTCTGTGGCTGGACAAGAAATATATGACATAGAGATGACTCGTTGACTTCAGAATCCCCCCCACCCCCACCCCCCCCTACCCCCCCAACGGCTGCTATAATAAGCTCTTTTCAATCCTAAATCCGTATCGGTAGCACAATCTGTACCATCAGCTCAACTGCCTTTAAGTAGCCTTCGATTGTTTTATAAAAAACTAATTATTACTTTTTTCCCTCCCTAGCCATAAAAAAAACTGCACAAGACTGTCAAATGTTAATTCTGAGAGAATAAACATTTTTATATCTTTCTTTAGCTTCCCATCATCCGATCGGAGCATATCCTTAGATGACAGCAGACAAGCAATATAATGGAGAGGATGTTTAACGCACCAAGTTCTTTTAGAAAATTTGTTTATTCAATTTTATATGATGCAGTTTGGTATTTTTTGGTGATTTAAGGATATAAATATGTAATTGCAGTCCTTTAATTATGTTATTTATAGCGGCCAGGATGAATAGTGGGTTGCTCATATGCAAATGAGCTGATGGTATAGACCGTGCTTCCATTTTAGATCAGCTGGTGGTGTCTGAATATGGCTGGCAATGCTAGAAAAGGAGACAGGATGATTGCTGTCAAAGCAGATTAGCATAGGGGCATCCCGATGTTCCTATCTGGCACCTAGGAACTACACAAAAGTCCACTGTCCTTTATGTGACAAGACATAAGCACAGCCCATTTTCATGTTAACATACAATTTACAGAAAATCTTTTTCAGGTTAAATGTCTTTTTACCAAAGCAAATAGAAAACCATCTCACTTTCATTTTCTCATGGTGCACAGGTGAGCCTTTGTGTGCTTCTGCTACGTTACCAACCTGAGGGCGACATCCATGGCTTTGTTAACTTTCTCTCTGAGGAGCAGAGCAAGAAGAAAAAAGAAGGAATTCTGGCTGAGTGCGAAAAAGACGCTTGCTCTCCGACAAGTGAGGTGGACGAGTATGGAGGAGCACCCACGAACACTTGCGGGGCCAAAAACTTGCCATCCCTGGGTGATAATGAGATGTTGATCGGAAAACCGGATAAAACTGCATACACTGCAGGCCATCCCAACTACGGCACAGTGGATATGACCACAGGCATCGAAGCTGAGGAGTCTGAAGGAGGGATGTCCCGGAGGCTCAAGAAGCTGATTGGACCTCGCTACTATACATTGAGAATCCGTCTTGGTCTTCCTGGAAAAATGGACAGGCCAACTCCAGTCACAGGGAAAACCGTCACTGTGTGTGTGCTGCTGCTGTTCATCTTGTTCTTTGCTTTCTGCTCCTTTATCATTTTTGGTGAGAACGCGTCAGCAACACCTTACTCCAAGTTACAACAATACTGTAATATACAGTCATTCTCTGTTTAATCTCTTTCAGGAGCAAGTTGTATTACAGATGGACAATGGTGGGCCTTGCTGCTACTAATCCTCCTCATCATCTTCATTGCTCTGCTGATCATCATTATTCTCCAGCAGCCAGAGAACCCAAAGCGGCTCCCTTACATGGCGCCATGTGTGCCATTCGTACCTGCTTCAGCCATGCTGGTCAACATCTACCTCATGCTTAAACTATCTGCCATCACTTGGATTCGTTTCTCAATCTGGTGCCTCGTTGGTAATTTCTCTTAGACTTGATTTGTAAGAAAACAATAGTAATACACAGAACAAGGCTGTTATCCAAAACAGTTAAAAATTAATCACCTTTAAGCAATATCCCCTGATATCCCCTTTATTAACGCAAGGAATTGTTTACTAGATGGTTGACTTTTCCAACAAAGCCATATTTTTTAGATTAAATGGAAAATAATCCTTGTATTGAGTAACACCTTCAGGAGTAGTTGTAGTTCTTTTTGTTTTCTTTAGCTTTTCATATGCAAATGGGTTTGATTTTGTTTATTTTTATTTATTTTAAATTCTGTCATATTTCAACCACAAACTTTAACGGCAAAATAAACTACACAATGCATATTTTTATATGAAAGATGAAAATGGTATGCTTTTCATAAAATTAAATGTGAAAAGTTGGGTACACGTGTGTAATCAGCCCCGAGTCATTCTAGGATCGCATTTGACGATAGTTACGAGTGCAGATTATTGGTCGGATAGGCTCTACCCGTTTTGCACCTATTTTTTAATGCAAAAATAATTTGATCCCCAATAAACTGGATGGGACATCTGAGAAAATAAATATTCAAATTTTCCCACATATATTCAATTGGATTTAAAGGTACACTATGCAACCGGTGTTGATTTTCCAGCGAGGCTCCCCCCAGAGGGCGAAAGTAAAAGTGCACTGTCGTAAATATGCTCAGCTGTTCTCCTGGTTTCTCCGTCAAGCCAGGCGCGGTTGTTTTGAGCTTAGCAGCGAATGAGTAATGCTGCGTTCACACTGGACGTAGCTGGCGCGACAGAAGCAGCGAGTTTACATGCAAAGTCAATGGTTGACGCGCGTCAAGGCGCAGCAAAAGGTCCCGCGGCGCGTTTTGAGCAGCAGGCGCAGCGCGTCTGAGCAGCTGAAGCAGCGCGTCGGGTGCGTTTAACGCAGGGAGAGAGACACAGCGCTGATGATCACTCCTCTTAAACAGTTTATTGACGCATAAAAATGAACTTAAAATGCAGAAATCTGCCGGCAGAATATGCAGTTTGGATTATTTAGATGAAAAACACCTACCAGCTGCCCGGTGAACCGCTGCTGATGAAGGGATCCATACTGTCGGCGCATCCCTGGTATGTGGGGGTCTGAGCGGCTCCGACAGAAAAAATATTGAAGGCAGGATAATAATCTGAATGAACTGACTGCACTGATTACGTTTTCAGGTGTATTTTCTCACTTAAACACATATTAAAACTACTTTATTCCCACTGATCACAGCAAATATAGCTGCAAGGCAGAGAAAGGATAGTGAAGCTCCGCCCAATGCGCCTCAGACACACTTTTGCACCATGCAGCCAGAGCAGCAAAGCTGCTTCAGCCGCGTGTCAGAACTAACTGGTACAAGCAGCAAAAACGAAGCAGCAGACGCGATTTTGCTGCTTTTGCTGCGTGAACGTAGCATAACTGCACAAAGATTGCCACTGTGCTAGCAACGAGAATGCTTTTAACTGGGGGCGTGTAGCAGTTCTCGCCGTAAAGCAAGACTGACTCTCACGAGACTTCTGAGCCTGTGGGTGCGGGTCGGTGCTCCTGCAATTGCAAGTGCAGTATTTCCCCCACAGACCACCAGGGCGGCCGAGAATACCTTTGTTCAACCTGAAATGACTCATTTAATCATCCATAACGTTATGGAACACATTAATTAACTGAAAAATTTTGCATAGTGTGCCTTTAAGTCTGGACTTTGACCGGGCCATCCAAACACAGTCACTGGCTTGTCTGGTGTGTTTGTGAGATTGCACTGGTTCGGGTAACAGAGTAATGGGGAAAAAAATTACAAAATCTCAACACACTTGGATATACACACTTCACAAATATGGAGTATTTTGTATCAGATATTTTGATACTTTGTGTCATAAGAGATAAATTTTTTTGTGGGTGTAATGTGACAGAATGTGTTAAAGGAATATGAATACTTTTTACTTTACTTTTTTATTTTTACAAATAAAGTAAATAGACTCTGGATCAAATGATCTTTTGTAATTGATCTTAATTTGATTTAATTACAGACATCAGTTGAAAAGTTGTACTTTCTGCACACTTTTTTTCTACATGCTGCTTAACTTTGTCTTTTTTTTATTGAGATGCATTTCCGTTTCCCTCCAGGTGTACTTATCTACTTTGGCTATGGCATGTGGAACAGCACTCTGGAGATTACAGCTAGAGAAAATGAGGTGCATGCTTCCACCTACCAGCGCTACGATCAAGGCGTGGACGAAGGCTTCTGTGGCTTCGAAGACGATTTTTATCCGCCCACCACTGACACCTGGGATGCACATGAGGGGGATTCAGGGGGGGCGCCACCTCCGAAGGCAAAACCTGAAAGTGATGGGATTTCCTCACGAGGTGGAAGTAGAACCATTGCTAACAATGGCCTTGCAGAGGAGGACCCAATGGATTTCTGAAAGGAATGACTTTTGTGATACATTGAATGTACTGCCTTGTCTGCTGCCTGGGGGGGAGGGTGTGTGTGTGCGAGTGCATGACTGACTGCTAGTGTGAAAGGATGTTTGCATGCTTGCACGAGTGTGTATTTGTTTTATGTTTCAAACCCCTGGGCTAGATTGTTTTTGGGTAAGGAAACGGTTTCCCTTTTAAAAATACTCATTCTGCTTGGCATGCTGCCCCTCACACAAATGTCTTCACGCTTTCACAGGATCTGGCTTTTGAACCAACTTCCCAAACAAAGGAAAACATGTAAGGAAAGTGTGAACGAAGGCCTAGATAAGATAGTGATTATGTGAAGAAATGACATGCTTTACTGAGAAACTTTTACAAGTCAAGAGCTTTGGCCCAGGAGAGAAAAGGGCAGTGAGAGTGGACAAATGAGTCAGCAACTGTCTTCCTGTTCCACCTCAGGCAGACAGACAGGAAAGTTTAATGACAGATTGATGGATACAAATGCCTTCCAATGGCAAAGTCGACTTTGTGTGTTGACAGTTTTTGTACAAACGTGAAAACACATCCTAAACCTACTCTTAAACCTAAATTGAGCATCTAGCCTGAGGGGTTTCACCAGGGATTTGTGGTTAAGGGTGTTGATGTTTTTGTGACAACTATTACTTGGACTTTGCTTGTAATAGTGCCTTCATCTATTGTGTGTATTTTTCTGGTTATTTTAAATCCCTAGTTTGATTTTTGCCTATGTATATGTGTGGTCTGTCGTACTGTGCCTTGCAAAAGCATTCATAAAAGCATTTTTAGATTTTGTTATGTTGAAGAGCACTAACCTATTTTATTTGGATTTCATGGAATTCACCAACACATAGGGGTATTTCTGGTTGAACATTTTGTTTTCCTTCTAGAAAGTGAACCTTTGCTTCTCGCTCATGCATGTAAGTAAATCCATCCACTGTCCTATAAACTCTTACAATTGCTTTACTAAAGAAAACCATTCCCATAGCATTCTACTGCCACCACCATCATTACCACAAGGATGTTGTTTATGCTATTGCACAGGACAGTAGTTGCATACAGGCCAAAAGGCTTAGTCATCTAGATCATTATAAGGGGGAAAAAGATGATGTACTTAATTTCTTATAGTTGAAGATACTTTGCTCTTCATCCAAAGAGCTATCTTAGTTCAAAGCTAGTGGGATTAGCATTCCAAGCTTTAATGGGCTTTACCATTCAGCCATTAATTTCAACTTACAGAACAGCACATCTAAAAAAAAGCTTAAAAGCTTTGAACCCCCCCCCCCCCCCCCCCCCCCCCCCCCCCCCCCCCCCCTTTAAGCATGAATTATGTCAGCTCTTTGGATGAAGAGTGAAATGTCTTTAAATGCAACGATGAAGCCCAGTTGTTTTATTTTATTTTTTTTTACCTTTATTTGATTTTAGCCCAAAATATTTCTTTTTGGTCTCATCTGATCAGCACACCTTCTTCCATATGTTTGGTATTTTCCCTGAAAGTCTGACAGCAATCTGTCAAAATTTGACTCCATACTGCCTAATTTTAGAAAATAGCTTCTTCTTTGGCCTCATGGATACTTCTTTGATTAATACTTCCATTCCAATTCTGGTAGATGTGCCCTGCCTGCTTGGGTTTGCAGTTATGTCATGCATTACTTTTTTCAGATGATAGATTAAATGTCAATCTATGTAATTTTTAAATGCTTTAGCTATTTTTGACATAACCCTGCTTTTGTCATCCCTGCAACCTTTTCTCTGATCTCTGGTATTTATATTTGTTTATCTTATTAATGCTCTTTGCTCCTTTATGGTCTCTGGACAGCCCTTTACAAAGCACCTATTTCCATTGACTATTTAGGTGACTTTAGAAGGCAAATAGTTGCACTGGTTTTAAGTTATGTTTAATCGAATTAATAGGGTTTAGTACAAATGCATGTCAAACTTTTAATTTATGCTGGAAAAAAACAAAAATTGTATTCAGCCTCACAATGATGCACTACTTTTTGCTGATCCATTGCATAGATTCCCATTAAAATCCAGAAGCTTGCAGATTTAACATAACAAAATGTAAAAAAAAAAAGTCAGCTTACTTTTACAAGGCACTGTACACGATATGCACTCAATCTCAAGCTTTATATGAATTTCTCTGTGCGTGTTTGTACAATGTGGGATCTTCAGAATATTTATTTAAAAGTAAGCTTGTGTTGTTGTTATAACTTCATGCATGAACATCAGATCAATCCACTTCTAACCAAAAATCCACATGCAGTGAGAATTGATAATGATTTAGCTAAACAGGATTTAGGGATTAAACATAGCTGATGCACTGAAGGAGAGAATAGATAGAATCCTATTTGACAACTTGCTGTGTTTTTAGTCTCTCCTGTGTGGCTCTTAATTGTCTGGAAAGCTTCATTTTTTCCATTTTGGTTATTTATTATATTAGTGACAAGAAAAGAGAAACAAAATTAAATCTGTCCTCTTCTTTTCCTATGTTTTATCTCTTCAAAGTTTCCACATTTGTTTTCTCATCCTAACTCCTCCATCACCCCTTTGCCATTTTATTATCAATCAGGCTGTGTTTTTTGGGAGTATCCATTGGAAGTAATTGCACACCAAAGATTAGTTTGAACCCTGGAAAAGTAACAGTGATCTGTCAATTCTCTTGCTCCAATTTGATTTAGTTGGGTCTGATTTGTCACCAGAGAATTGATTTAGTTCGGATTTGACTTTTTGCCCGGTCTCATTCCATTGCAATTGACTTTTACCCATTTCCTTTTCAGTTTTTATATATGTTGCACATACAGAGAGTTACAAGAATTTAACTTTGGCATTCAAGATATGGGCTTGTTATTGCAGTTAAAACTAAAAGGCAAAACAAAGAATAGCTTTACATCAAAAACATTGTGAGCATTATGCAGAGCAATTTCTAAATAGAGTAAGATAAATTTTTACTAACACCAAATAGCACACTGTTATTCTACTGGGGTAGGAATGCTCCTTCAGTCGCTTCTGGTGCTGTCGTCTATGCTGATCATTGTTGCACCTCTGCCTTTTCCTTGCGCCCCGTGTTGCTGCATTAGTCCCTATCGGGGAAGCCTTATTTGTCTAATGCACTAAATCTAAGGATGCCACGCTAACTCACTATCCATCTACCACCCTACCTTTCCTCTTACATTAATCATTAAAAACTGAAAAATTAAGATTCTTTCATTGCTGTTCTGGGATATATGTCTTACAAATATGCAAATGAAGACTGCCCTACATCGCATGGACTTACTGTCATATGAAATTGCGGCATGTCTATGCTGAAGATAAAAAAGTCACGATGATCGGGTTTATCATGAGGTCAGGCTTTACTTGTTTCTAATAATTTTTGAAGAAAATTGAAAAAGATTTAAAAATCAATCTGAAACTGACTGTAAAATAGCAACTCGTATCTATGTTTTAATAAGATTAAATACATCATAAGGGAACATCATTTGAAGTTCTAAAGAGTTATCAGTAATTCAACATATTTGCACACATTAGAAAATTTTTTGTCTTGTATATTACTTGGTTGGGCAATGTATCAGGTATATATTGATGAATCAGTTGCTTGCTATCAATCTGTTAAAACAGAAAGATGAAATCCTTTACAAGGCATAATCAGTCCTTTGCTTTTCCTTGGTTTTATTAATTAGTTACCTTTAGACCAGACCTCCTTACTTTAGACCTAGACCACCTCTTGATTTTTGATTTTAGACAGATGTTATTTTCTCTTGTTTTGGACAAAATGGTATTTAATGGTTTATAAGATTACAAGAAAAAGAACAATTACTACCTACAACCCAAAAGCAGGTGTGAAAATGCCCTTTATAAAAAAGGTGCATTGAAATATTTAAATACTTGTGTTAAACTAAGCTACAAACTGATCAGATAACCTGCATTTAGCAAAAATATTTGACTAAATTTTAATTAATTTTGCCATATTTTCCTTTAGCTTCAAAAGATAGTGTTTATGGAATAGTAAGTTTTTTCTTTTTTCTTATCTGGTAAAAGTTTTAAATAATATAACATGCTTTCCCATGGTCTCAAGTTTTGCTCTAGAATTATACCAAGAATGTTTCATCCTGTATGGGAGGTTTGAACGCAAACTGTACTTTGCTTATGACAGGTTTATAACTATACAGAAGAGAGGGGTATGACATTTAAAAAATATATATATTATTTCTTAGTCAATATATCAATGTTGATAGTAACAATTGGTTTCATCAAACTGATTAATGAGATTCGTTTAGACAGACTAAGAATGATTGTAAATTGTAATTTTGGTACAAAATTTTAGCACTGTTACATCCCACCTATGTAGCAGAGTGTGCTTTACTTGAGTTGTACTGTTTCTTTCTACCTTTAGAATCAAACTTTAAGTATGTACCCATAAATGTCAACTGTGCTTTGCACAAATTAAGAAGATTGGGCAACCTGAATGTAGTCTGCTTAGAAATGGTCTCTAACCAAGAACTTATTGAGAAAGAAAATAAAAAAATACTTTTCAAATGTAACACCCACCCCTCTACTTTTAACTCAGCTAGCATTTCTTACATGAATATAACACCTCTTTTCTCTATTGTTGGACACTATTTGAGGTTTTTGCAGTCACAGCCCCTCCAAAAATCCATGCAAATTAATTACATCATACATTTGAATCACCTACTGTATGAATGCATGTGCAGTAAAGATGTATGTATCTGTGTGTTCAGATTTCCACTTGTGGTCAACGTCCGCGCCCAAATGTGACTGTCTGGTGATGTCAGCATGTTTTTGTGCACAAGGCTGAGTTTCTATATGTTTTTCTTGCATGTTATTACAGATCTCAATAGGAAATACAAGTTTGTTGTTTAAATTTGATGAAACCAATTTTAGGTTTAGTTCTTCTTTGCCTTGGAGACCTGGTTTTAATGATCAATGGTAGTCTTTGCTTTTATCCATCTGAAAACACTGCCTATTTATTGTTCATTGCCAAAGTGTCTTTTTATGGGCTTTCTTATTTCTATTTTTCAATTTAAACCTAAAGTTTAGGGTTTTGTTCAATTTTGTTGGTAAAACTGACTTGTTAACTCTACTACATCTGAAGCTATGGCTCCCTTTGATAAAACTATGTAGCAAGACGGACTCCCTTCTCACCCTTTCTCAGATATCTATCAATCTTCCTGTAAATATTCTAAAAAATCTGCTGGGTTTGAAACAGCCATATTGGGTCTCTATTTGTTAAATCAGTCCAGTGTCAAACTGGAATCAGACCTGCCCTGAATCGATTCAGCAAGTCAGGATTAGGTTTGGGGTTTTGCCCATTAGGCTGGGTTACTGTACATTTAAAATTTTGTGAAACAAATTGGCAGTGATTAGAAGTAAGTGCAAAACTCACTTTTCAGTTTTATATTTTACAGGTGAACATTTAACCTTTGTCTGTTACAGTTTAGTAGTTACTTTATCAAATTATTAATCAAGATCCTTTTAACCCCTAGTTTCTAAAGAACATGTTAGGCTTTTTAGGCAAAAACTACAGATGTAGTGGTTGGATTGGAAGTCAACCTGATATACATTCGGGCACAAATGTAAGAAACTTCATATAATTGTGAAGGGTAAAAAGTTTGGAAGAAATTTCGGAGACAGCCGTTACTAATATCTAAACAATCCAGTTCATTGGTTCAAGGGTTAATGTCACAATAGTTAGCATTAGCTTAGGTAAAGGGGGAATGTTAAGTCAAAATAACTAATCAGTTTATTTATTTATTTAGTACCAGTTCATGGGACATGTTATCTTAGGAGAGTTTACAATCAGATCCTACAGCCAGACTGGATAAAAAATTCTGTCTAAGAAAAAAAAGCTGAAATATTGATTTTGCAGTACATGACCCTCCTTGATGAGCATGTGGTGATAGTAAATATATTCACCTGCATTATGTGTTTGACTGTTCATCAATCGCTCACATCGAGCATGCATGTAGAAACAGTGGAATGAAAAATCTCCCTTTTAACAGTAAGAAAACTCCAACAGAACCAGCTTCAGAGCTGAGTGCTTTGCTAGTAAACAAACTCCATTAATACCACCAACTAACTTTAAAATCATTGCAAAGCTGTAATTTACTATCTTACTAATAAAATTTATTTTATTATACTTTATGTTATCTGGTTTTTTTTTTATTATTGTTTTTTGTTATCAAATTGGTTTTGCTACCAATCTTATACCAAACAACATAAATACACCTTTTGGATTAAAGGAATAACCCAGCAGT